TTCATTTACCCTCTGCCGAGGGCAGCCTCTGGTGCTCCTCTGCAACCTCTCTCCCCTCAGTCTCTCTCTTTACCGCTCCCGACTCCATGCGGCCTTTGACTCTGCTAGTACTACTCTCTTTTCCTTTGTCTCCTAAAATTTTCTTTCCTGGCTTCCTTCGCCCAAGCTGCTTTTTAACCCCCTTTTCAATGCTGCTCTTTCAGGCAGTGCTGGCTCTGGAGCTTGCTTTTCTTTTTTCTTACTCTGTGCTTTACCCCTGTGTGATCTCATCCTCTCCAGTGTTTCTCACTTCTTAAAGTCCCAGCATCAGTCTGTCTCCTGTCCTGAGCTCCAGACTTGCTGATCCGGGTACCTAAGTACATGATACCTCAAATGTAACATATCCAGATCCAAAGCAACATTGCTCCTTCCAGATTTCTACATTTAATATCTCTTTCTCTCTCTCTCTCTCTCTCTCTCAAGGTATCCATCCTCCTCAGAGTTGGTCAGGCCAGAAACCCAAAGGGATCCAGACTTGCCTCTTCACTACTGTATCATTTCCTTGACTAGTTCTATCCCTGTTCTAATTGATCCTCCTAGCAGTTCTGTGAGGCTCCTAAAACAGGTATTCCTTAACACTTTGATGTTACAGATGGAACACTGGGAGAAGTCGAGATTGTTTCTGGTAATTAAAAGGTTAGGAATCATCAGTAGCAGGAAAGAATGTGAATCTTTCCTTGCAGATTACTCATATTACAAGGAAAAAAAAAAGTGAGCCAAAAGAGAAACACTAATGTCCTCCTGGCTATGAGAGTGTGAAGGAATCAGCTTTCATTATACTTCACTTTGTGAGGCAGCAGATAGATTCCTTTTTTCTTTGTTCCATGCATTTGTCTTCATCGCAGGGGAGGTGTTGGGCCTTCACTGTCCTCACTCAGAGCCACAACGGATGGGTGTTTTAAAAAAACGACATATATTGAGATATAATTCACCTGCTATACAATTCACCCATTGAAAGTATGCAGTTCACTGGTTTTTAGTTTATTCACAGGATTGTGCAACTATCACCACTGTCTAGTTCTTTGTCTACCCACCCAAAACAAATCCCATGTGGTTTAGCAGTCAGTTCCCACCCACCTAAGAAACCACTGATATATTTTCTGTCTTTATAAATTTGTCTATCCTGGATATTTTATATAAATATAATTATACAATATATAATTTCAATGAGTTTTTCAAGGTTCATCCATGTTACTTCATTCCCTTTTATAGACAAATAATATTCTATATTTTGTTTGCCCATTACTTAGTTGATGGAAATTTGGATTGTTTCCACTTTTATGGTTTTACTGTTATTTTACTATTTTACTATTATGAATAGTGTTGCTATGTGCATTTGTATACAAGTTTTTGTGCACATGTATGTTTTCATGTCTCTTGTGTATATACCTAGGAATGAAATTGCTGGGTCCATGTAATAATTCTGTGCTTAATGGTTTGAGGAATTGCCAGACTGTTTCCCAAAACCGCTGCGCCGCTTTCTGTCCCTACCAGCACTGTGTAGAGTTCCAGGTTCTCTGCATCCTCACCAGCACTTTCCATTGTCTATCTTTTTGATTATAGCCAGCCTGGCAGGTGGGAGGGGTATCTCGTGGTTTTGATTTGCATGTTTCTGATGGCTAATGGTGTTGGACATCTTTTTGTTTGCTTATTGGTCATTCATATATTTTCTTTGGAGATGGCATATACAAATGCTTTGCCCATTTTAAAATTTGGTTATTTTTTATTGTAAGTTGTAAGGATTCTTTAGATATTCTAAATACAAATCCTTTATCAGATATGGGATTTGCCCATATTTTCTCCCCTTTTAGGGTTGCCTTTTTACCTTCTTGACGGCAGCATTGGCTGCGGGTTTCATTAAACCGCCTGGGCTGTGTGACGGTCGGGTGCAGAGGGCGTCCCTCTCTGGAGTGGGTGGGTGTTGCAGAGAAGGCGGACATGCCGGTAGGACCTTACCACCTCTGACCTGCCTCTCCTCCCTTTCTTCTTCCCTGTGTAGTCTTGCCTGGGCTCTCATGGTCACACTACAATGGGTCTGTCTTGGCCCTGATCCCCCACAAGCCACGGAAACTGGCACTCTGTCTGCATTTCATCAAGGGGTCGCTATTTCTTTGATGTCAGTGGACACCATGAATCTCATCTTACACCTCAGTTCGTTGTTGGGTCTCTTTTCTAAACAGAGCACTGACCCTGGCTGCCGAGTCGGCCTTGTCCTTGAGTGGCACCGGGGTGTGTCGCCATGCGCCTGGGACCCTGGAGATGATCAGGCGGCAGCTGTTACGATCCCCACAAGTATGAGCTCAGAAATTAGAGTTTGATCACACACTCTTTATTATTTGGCCAAGTTTACCTGCGCAGGGGCCACCTTTCCCTCGAAAGGAAAAAGGCGCACCGCTGTAAGGGTACACGGGTTTTTATAAGCAGAGCAAGCAAGCAAGATACAAGGGCGAGAAGTGGCAGTTAGCAATAGGCAGCTTCTTTCTTTCTTTTTTGCTGATTAGGTTCAAGGCTGTTACTGGGCCCCCTACTCTTTCTCTGGTCAGGATGTGTATCTGAGGCAAGGCTCAACCCTCGCCCTATGCCTCCTCCTCATTCTTGTCGACTCTGGCCCAGCTGCATGGGGGCTGCACCCTGATATGTTTTTCTTGGTATTTGTTTCTCCCTTATCCTCAGCTCTGACCCTGCTTTTATGGGCTATTTGTCTGAGTCAAGGCTCAGCCGTTGTCCTATCTTGTTACTAAGGGGGGGGGCTCTAATTCTTCCCTTCATCTTGGGGTATTGTTTGTTCTAGTTTCTTGTTTCGGCCCAGGCTTGACCTAGTGTTAAAGTTTGGCCCCTTCAGCAGCCACTTCTCTCCTAGGGCTTCCTGCTTCACTGCTGGTTCACAGGCCTGTACGGGGGACTTCCTGCCATCGGGAAGTTGGACACCAGGGTGCCTCAGGCTTCTGGGTGTCACGATCAACATGATTGCAAAGAATGTTAGAGTGTCACATAGGTTATTAAGTTTAAATTTTGTCAAACAGGGACATTTGGCATTCTAACTGCCATCAAGAGAGAACAGAACAGATCATCCTGTCAAGAGAGTACAAAAAATATCAATTAGCTATATTTACCTTTGTGAAAAGCCAATATATGGTCCTATCTTTCTCATTTTTGCTACGCATCACTGAAGAATACATCATGGTCTGTGGATTGATATTTGGAAACCACAGGCTTATATACTCAGCATAAGTCTTTATTTAAAAGGTGAGAACCATCACTTAATCAAGCATTTACTCTGTGTGATGCCAGATACCAGTTTATTACAGTTTATTTTCTTACTCTTAACTATTTTGGCTGTTACATTAGATGCATCTTCCTGTACTTTGTATCTTTCTTGGCTTATATTTGAATAGCTCTCTAATAACACACGAGAAGGAATTGTTTTAAGTATATGTACATATAAATATGAATTGACATTTAAAAGGTTTTTAAAAATTTCCATTCAAAAGGTGGGGTGGCTCCGATGTACTAATACAATGTGTAAATTCTGGTTTATGTATATTCTAGATTGGGAGTACTACATAAATTTTTATTGATTCTGTCTCATCAAAATTAAAATGCCAAATAGATGTTAGGGTTTTATCATCTGACAGTTATTGGCTGTCACACTGGCACATTAATTACAGTAATTGGGCAGTAAAGAAGCCAGAGGAATAGAGGATGTGTTACATGTTTTGATGAGATTATAGTCATAACCTCTTATTTATAGTAGTAAGATCTTGTTAATTGACATCAATGACAAGCTCTTTTCCTTTCCTTTTTTCTTTTTCAGATTGGTTTATAAATCTATTAGGAACTATGAACTGAGAGCCACACAATATACAATGAAAGTCACATTTCAAAAATTTCCAATGCTTGTTCATGGTATACACATGAAATTCATTCAGCAAAATTTGCTGACCACTGCTCTCTGTGTTGCTGGTACACAGAGGCAAATAAAGCAGTGCCCATGCTGAAAAACGAACAATGGAGAGGGGAGTTAAAATGTCCAGATAAAAATATACATGACCCACATTTATTGAATCACACATGGGACCCACATGTGGTTTAGTTCCTCAAAAGCGGGATAAACCACTATTCGAGTTCAGAGGAGGAAGGAGGATTGAGAGCCTGGGCAATCAGCAAAGCCGTAGTCTCAGGGGTAGAGGAATTCCCGTGCTTTCCGCCCTGGAGCTCCGCCCCGCTCTGCGGAGACTTCTGCGGCCTAGAACTAGAGTGGGGGGGCAGGAGGCTACGCACACCGGCGTGGAAGTCAGCTTTTGTTCTAGGCCTACTGCCTTGCTGCCTCATTCTGTGTCCTTGAGTATATAAAATTGATGCAGTAATATGTGTCCAGCGTTTCCCACCATGAAAAGTGACATAATGCGGATGACTAAGCTGCTCCCTATGGTGAAAGTCAGATTGCTTGGCAGGTGTATATTTTTTTTCAGGCGCCTGACGCCATGCATTTGAGCAGTAGCAAGTGCAGCTTTCCATGACTGAAAGGATTAGCGTCCTTAACCAAGTGCCTAATTTATTGCTAGGGAATAGCATATTCTGTGTAATATCTGAACTGTCTGAAAAATTGCTTGAATTCCTTGGAGAAACTGCTTAAAAGAATACAGAGCAGTAGTATTGTAATCACTAAAACATGTTAAAAAGGAAACAAATGTTCATTGAGCTGCTTTCTGCTAGCTTAGGGACTTTATAGTTGGTTTTTAAATTCTTACATCATTTCTATTTTATATAGAGGAAACTGAGGCTTAGGTAAGTTTTCAAAAGTTTCTTAGATGCTCCATCTGTTTGAAATCAGACTTGTTGAAATCTAATGTGCTGTTTGTGTTGTCACTTTAGTTTGGTGGTTCCTTGCAGGCCAGTGTACGTAAATCATCTTTGGGTGTGTGTGTTTATGTCATTTACTTACTTGCTTTCTTGGCTAGGTTACTTCTAGAACTGCTGGAGTTGCTATTTGAAAAGTTCAATGCCGTAGCCGCTGCACACTCTGTGGTCCTGGGATACCTGCAGGACACGGTCGTGACACCACTGGCTCAGCAGGAAGACGTCAAGTTGTATGACATGGCAGACGTGTGGGTGAAGATTCAAGATGTGCTCCAGGTAAGGTCCTTATACAACAGGTGCCGTCTTCTTTCAGCATAACAAGGTAGAACAACAGCATAAGACCGAGCAACCTAAAATATCCCCTTAATCATAAACAGGGTGAGAAAGGAATGTTCCTATTTAAAGGTGATGCTGCTGATCTCATGAACTTCTATCATCTTCAGAAGACCTTCTAACAAACTTCTTTCCCAGACTTTAGAATTAGGAGGAGATGTTCAGTACCTAGTAATCAAGGATGTACAGTGGTTGGCTTTCTGTCACAGGGTACTTTAGTTAGTTCACTGGAATTAGTCCTATAGCAAGGTAATCAATACTAAAATGTTTTTAAACACTATTTTATAAACACATATGTGGCTTTATTTTATGAGCATCTTCCAATAGTCAACTCTTGCATATATTGGGGTAAGTGATAGATCAAGAGCCTGTTTTGAGATGAGAATAAGTCTATAATTATAAATGAATCATTTTGATGGATTTGATTAAGAATGGAGAAATGATATTACTGTTTGGTATGATGCTGCAGAGATGGTATTTAGAAATTTTTTTTATATTTTCCCCTCAATGTGCCAGGAAAACATATTTGATTTGGCCAGATGAAAATTAGAAATATAATTAAGAGTCAGCTGAAACAAATTGATATAGCTAAATAGGAATGTCTTGGTTAAACAGTACCTACTAATATGAAAAAAAGTTAAGTATATGTAGGAAATTGAAAAATGTAACTGTGTAGGAGTGAAATTACTTGCATGGCAAATAGGAGTCTTGCAGGAATAAATCAAGATGGAAAGTTGTAGTTATTTTTGACAATATAGACACATTCCTGGTGGATTGAATGATTAATTCTTGGTTATTCATTCATTAGACATTTTTGGGGGTTAAGTCTGTGTACTTCATTGATGGTTCAGTAGAAAGAATATGGGTTGCAACTGTGTTACCTGAGTTCTTTTTGTCACTCTCTCAGTTACTATATGCTCATAGTGGGTACTTGATGAATATTTGTGCATTGAATAAAATACCTTTATTGTTTAGAAGTTGATTATTTAACATTTTATATATGGTTTGCTAATCTGTCATACAGAAATAATATGTACCTTCATGCTACATGTTCATGTTAAGGATGAGATAAGATAATAGATTTTAAAGCTATTTCAAAAATAGTTAGAATTAGGGACTTCATTTTCAGGCCATGCTGCACTTAGCTTCCGCTCTGGGCAGCTCTAAGGGGGAGGGGGCGTGTCTCAGGCCGTCGGCCAAGCCTGGAGAGAGAAGAGAGTTGAGCGCCACAGCTTCTTTGGAGTGCTTTCCAATCTGTGGCACTGTGACGCCTACAGAGACAGCAGAGTGTCGCTCTAATCAGCAGAAGCCGAGGTCAGAGGTCAGCGGTCAGCGATGCAGCAGCAGCTGGTGTTTGTTGGGTGGGGTACTGGAGAGGAGGCAGTGGCACAGAGGAGTCCCGGAAATCTGAGAAGAGCACCCTCAAGCCTTTGTTCAAACACGAAGCTGTGCTCACCACGAGGCTGGGCAGAAAACAGCTACTGTGGGACTAGAAGCAGAGCGGAGACTCTGGAAGCTGCCAGATGCTTGGGAATGTTGGAGCTGGCACGCTCTGTGTGGGGAAAACTTATGAACATCCTGTGCTTTTCACTGTGACCTCAGACAGGCTTTGTCTTAGGAACAAGGCTGTCTTAGCCATAGGCTAAGGGTTACTCTAGACACACATAACAAAGCCCCAAACCAGGTCTCTACAGTGTCAGCCCAACTACTTGTATATTAACTGCATTCCAGAACAAAACTCTCCATAAAGTAAGACAGTATGATCCAGATCCATAATAATGAGGCATCCATAATGTCCAGCATACAATTGTTATCCTCGAGAAAAAGCAGAAAAATGTGACTGATGACTGGAGTTTCAAAAAGTTGAAAATTAATATCTGAAATGAAAAGTTTCTCAGATAGATTTAGCAGCAGATTGCATGTTGTAGAAGAAAGGATCAGAGAACTTGAAGATAAATCAATTGAAATCACTTACATCAAAGCACAGGGAAAAAAATGGACTGAAAAGAAAAATGAACAAAGTCACAATGTTCTCTGGGACAGTATGATGCTGCCTGACATTTGTGTAGTTGCAGGGTCAAAAGCAGAGGGGAGAGAGATTGGGGCAGAAAATTATGGAAGAGACAATGAGCAAAAATGTCTAAATTTGTTAAAAAACATAAACCCACATGTCTAAGAAGCTCATCAAATCTGAAGCAGGATTAATACACAGAAAACACAGACACATCATCAGGTTGCTGAAAAACCAAGACTAGAATCTTACAGCTAGCCAGAGGAAAAAAGCATTGCCAGTGATAGAATTCTTTATGCACTTCTCATGGGAAGCAGTGCGAGCCAGAAACCAATGGATGGAATCTGGGAAGTGCTGGGAAATACAACAGTTGCCATTCTGAAATTTATCCGTAGTCTGACATGAAGGTAAAATAGAGACATTTTCAGATGGACTAAAGCTGAGAGAATTTGTCTCCACTAGGCCTGGACTTCAGGAAATGTTATAATGGACAGTTTTTTTTCAAGTGAAAGGAAAATTATACCAGATGATAGCCATCTATAGGAAAATATAAAGGAGGTCAAAAGTGGTAAATGTGTGGGTAAGACTAAATTACACTTTTCTCATTGATTTCTATTTAGAGAAAAAAAAATATATGTTGGTTTTTATAATATATTTAGAACTGAAGTGAATGACTGTAACTGTGTAAAAGGTGGGAATCAGGTAAATGACCCGTGGCGCTGCTGAAGTTCCGAGCGTTACACAGGTGCCCTGGAGGCGTTGAGGTTCCGTTCCCGGCACCACAGTAAAGCAAGTGTCGCAATAAAGCAATTCCTGAATTTTTTTTTTTTGCTGGTGGAGGGTCTTGCCTTCAATTTGTAAGAAAGAAAACAGAACCAAAAATAAAACATCAACATCTGTGAAGCAAAATAGAATGAAGCATAATAAAACAAGATGTGTCTGTGTATGAAGAGGTGTGATGGTTAAAGTAAATTGTGTTAAGTTCAGAATGTGTATTTTAAGCCCTAGAGCAAAACTAAAATTATAAAATAGATGTAAGGTAAAAGGTTAGTAAAGGGGATAAAATTGCTTTGTGAATAAATGTTTTGTGAATAAATGTTTGATTAATCCAAAAAAAAGCAGGAGAGGAAGAGTAAAGAATAAATGAATTTTAAAAATAAATGCAACAGCATTGATGGACCTGGAGATTATTATGCTAAATGAAATAAGCCAGTTAGAGAAAGACAAATACCATATGATTTCACTTATATGTAGAATCTAATGAAAAAAAAAAATACCCTGATGAACAAAATAGAAATGGAGGCATGGACACATGGAACGGACTGACAGCTGTCAGAGGGGAGCGGGCCTGGGTGAAAAAGGTTAAGGGATTAAGCAAAAAAAACAAAACAAAAACAACCCCCCTCCCCCGACAGAACTCGCAGACAACTGTATGGTGTTGCCAGAGAGGAAGGTGGTTGGAGGGAGGCAGAAGAGGTTAAAGGAGGGAAAAATGACGTGAGGTGGTGAACACACAGTACAATATGCAAGTGATGCCTTAATGTTACAGAATCATATACATGAAATCTTCCGTATTTTGCCGTGTATAATGTGTACTTTTGTTGCCCCAAAATTTGAGAGGAAAATAAGGATGTGCATTATACATGAGTGTAATGATTGACATGGGTATAGTAATCACGTGTATAGTGTGCACAAAAATGTGGGTGTGCATTATACATGGAAAAATATGGTATATGATTTTATTAACCAGTATCACCCCAGTAAATTCAATTTTTTAAAAAACTGCCAAGCAGAGCATTAGTGGGTCAACTGACAAAACTAGAATACGGACAGACTTGACAACTTAGACTGTTCAGAGAAAAATATTTATGTGTGTTTGTACATATAGAAAACAATTGATAACAAAATGTTAACAAGAGTTGAATTTGACAGGTTTATTTCAGTTTTTTTTTCTTCTCCCTTTGGTACAGAATCCAGTCTAGGGTTAGATAATACATTTACTTTTCATGTCTCTTTAGTTTAATTTAAGCTTGAACATTCCCATAGCCTTTCTTTACCTTTTTAACAGTGGCATTTTACCCCCATTTTTTAAATACATGGGGGGGGAAGAACATACCCCCATTTTTTAAATACAAGTTCCCCATTTTGGGTTTGAGAGATACACTTTAATATAAATTATAGCTAGATTAAAAGTATGCAAATGGAAAGAGATATACTATGAAATACTAATAATAATTTGTATAATGGAAACATTTGGACACTGTCGGTATATATAATATTAAATGGAGTTATTTGTATCATAGTACTTAATGGCATTTAAAACCTGAATACATAGTATGTTATAGACGATGTAATCCTACTCTTACAAGGTTACAAAATACTTTATGAATACGTTTTTTATGATCTGATATTTGACTAAGACTAATGTTCTAAATTTAAAATGTTCAAATCTTCTGGGATCCTATTTATAACAATATCACAAAGAATTATGATTATGAACAAAGTAAGATATTATGCTTTACTTACTTTGGATTTGTCAAATGTATATAATTCCTACATTTTGGCAAATAAAACCCATTATCTCAAATCAACAACATTTATAATAAACCGAGGAAATTTAAGTTCTATCAGACATTAACTTGAAATGTTAAAATGATTAAAAATATGTTTCTGGCTTATTAAATGAATTACACTTTTCATACATGTGGTTTCATAGAGTGATTTGGAGATCATATCTTCATATTATGGAATGAGTTATTTATTTAAATAGCTTTTTTGAAATATAATTTACATGCCATAAGATTCACCTGTTTAAAATATAGATTTCAGTGATTTTGAGTATCTTTATGGAGTTGTGCAACAGTTGTCATGATAGGATTTTAGGACATTTACCCTAAAAAGAAACCTTGTATCCATTAGCAGTCATTTTTTC